TCAAATTTTAAAAAAATTAAAAGGTGAGGGACGCCTGGGTGGCTCAGTCGGTTGAGCGTCTGACTCTTGGTTGCAGGTTGGGTCGTGACCTTGGGGTCCTGGGATCCTGCCCCTCACTGCTCTTCCTCTCCCTCTGCCCCGCCCCCTGCTCGCTCTCCCTCTCTCTCAAATAAATAAATAATTTTTTAAATAAAAAGAAATCAAAAGGTGCCTTTAATTTTTAAAATCAGCTCTAAAGGCATGAACTATAATGTTGGGGCTTTATCCCTCGAAGTATCCATTTCTGTGTATTCAGAGCTTTTCCCCAAATAGAGCTACTATGTCTTTTTACTCACAAATCCGGCGAGCACATTTCCCTCTGACAACCCAGCAGAGGACAGACCCTGGGTTCAGCATTCAAGGGCTTACAAAGCAAGGTGCACCATCCGGTGTTGAGCACGCGCGTTTGGAGGCGAATACCCCCCCTAATCAGTGGATTGAGGTCTCCTGGATTACTGAGCAGCTTTGGAGGCCGCTGTTTCCTAATTCAGCCCCCAAAATAGGATTTTTCTTCTGGTTCAGTTCACTACCTTTCAAAGCGCTAGTGGTGGTCTCCTCCCTTGAAAATACAGGACAGACTTCATTTTCTTCTCTCATGGCTTCAGGGATCCATGGCACCCAGAGCAGGTGAACACGATTCCAACGACCACAGCAGACAGCAAAAGCCATGCTGGACCTCTGGCGACACTGGAGATTCAGTAGCTTCCACTGAGCCATCATCAAGTCAGCCCATCCGGCATTTGCCTTCATATTGGACAAGGACATCATCTGGAATTCCTTCTCCCCTTCCTCTCCAACAAAGTTGGGACCGACGTAAAAATCTGGTTTACATGAGACTATCTTTAACGGGGACTTTTTTTCTTTTCAGTTAAGGGGTGACTTAATATAAAACTTTCGCAGTCTTGGTGGATTTCTGGTTATCTGTCCCAGTTCCATCCCATCTCTTGTGTAGAAGTCAGTGCTCCAAAGGGAAAAAAAAAAAAAAACTGCCATTTTTTTAAATAAGGTTTTCATGATTAAGGCTAAATAACATCATTACTCAGCTTTTAAAAATATATACAATATTTGGGGCGCCAGGGTGGCTCAGTCGGTCAAGTACCTGACTCTTGATTTTGGCTCAGGCCATGATCTCAGGTTGCTGAGATGGAGCCCCACGTCGGGCTCCACACTTAGTGGGGAGTCTGCTTCTCTCTCTCTCTGCTCCCCCCACCCCCACTCATGTGCTCACGCATGCACTCTCTAAAATAAAATATTTATAAATATATATATACAATATGCACCTTATTCTTTACAATATACATTTATGAATCCACACATGACTTATAACTCATGCAATTATTTATGATCTTCCGAATGTACCCCAGGAATTCTGAAGACTGGCCAGGCCTGCAAAGTGAAGAAGACCTTGAACTTACACCCTGGAGGCTGAGGCTACTCGGGGGCCCCCTTCGTGTAAGCAAACGTTTTGATCATTTCATGTCTTCTAATAAATACGAAAATATCAATATCACTTTTTGAATACTCTTTAGGATATGCACAAAGGACTTGTCTCGTTCTGACATCTTCCTCTGTCCTCCCAAACAACAGAAACTTGTCAGCATTGCTTTCCTCTTATTTAAGGTTCCTTGTTGTTATTCCTGCCTCAGGGTGACCCAACGTGGCAGTTCTCGGTGTCACAGGGACCGATGAAAAAGGCCCTGTGTTGACCTCCCCAACGCGACTGTCACGTGTTTGCACATTAACAATAAAGCCCATTATTTCCTGTAAAATTATGATCTCCTTTCACACCCCTTCCTCCCAACTATCAGAAAAAGAACCCTTTCCCTTTGCTTGACAACAAAAATATTCCATGATCCCAGTCTTCTCTCTTGCTTGTCAAAATGCTAAACAGACCAGTTTCTCTGGGGCTTTGTCCAATTATCCAATTTCCTTATTTTCTTTTCTAGTTAAACTATAATTAACATACCACCTAACTTATTTTTTTAAATCTATAGTCCAGCTCGTATTTTCTAAGGCACTCTTACAATGCAAACAAATTTAATATGTGCTGTTATAACTGTAATCATCATATATTTTGTAGTATCTTGCTAAAATTATGCCTCTTTTGGACAGCATTCCATTTTTCTCACTTGTGCACTCTTGGAATGGACTTTTAAAAAGAAGCACCATATAATATCCTCTCTCCAAAAAGGGACTATTTAAATGAAGTATTTTATTCAACACTGTCCTCATTAAGTGTTTATACTCAAAGTAACATCATTTCTCCCTGAAGAAAATCTGAAAAATGGAGGGGAAAAAAAACAGAATCACGCTTAATCCTATTTACCTAAATTCAACCACTATTAATATTCACAAATTAATATTCAGTGTGTTTTTTTACACAGCAACCGGAATTTGCAGAGGGTCCTAAATGCTGGCCACGGACTGGCCATGGTACCCGCCTTGTGTGTTAGAAATACAGGCTCCTGGCTGTCTGGCTGGTAATCCTGATCCAGCAGATCTGAGGTTAAGCCATACAGTATTTATTCATTTATTAATTCATTTAGTTATTTAAAGTTCCATCATGCACAGTCAACTTTGTGAGTCACCAGTTTCAAGCACAAATTTTGGGTCCCACAGACCTGGGCCCAGACCTGGTCCCATCACTTAACATGGTTGAGCAAGGTTATCCAATCTCTCAAAGCTCAGTTCCCTCATCCATAAAATGGGTGCATCAAAGACCATGTATAAAAATTCAGGGAGAAAATGTACTTGGCACTGTGCCCAAAACATAGTCATTATTCAGTACCTGGTATTTATTGTTATTTTTCCCCTTTTTTCTTATGCACCTGGTTTGAGATTTTTGTTCTGATTTGTATTGCTATGAAATATCACACACACTTTCACATAAACTATGTAGCATAGACATTTTCCATGTGGTTCCATTACCACCACAGACATGTGAACAGTTATATAGTATTCATCCAGTATGCAGAACTATGACTTGCTTTCTACTCATGATATTTAGGTTACTTACAATCTTTCCTTCTTTTCTTTTTTTTTTTTAAGATTTTATTGATTTAAAGAGAGGGAGAGCGCGTGCACTCCAAGCAGGGGGAGGGGCGGACAGGGAGAGAGAGAATCTCAAGCAGACTCCAAATCGAGCTCAGAGCCTCACGGGGTGGGGGGCGGGTTGGCCTTGACCTCAGGACCCTAAGATCACAAGCTGAGCTAAAATCAAGAGTAGGATGCTCGACCAACCGAGCCACCCAGGTGCCCCACAATCAGTCTTTCTTAAAAATTGTATAATGAGGACAGCTGGGTGGCTCAGTCGGTTAAGTGTCTGCCCTCGGCTCAGGTCATGGTCCCAGGGTCCTGGGATGGAGTCCCCTGCTCAGAGGGGAGTCTGCTTCTCCCTCTCCCTCTGCCCCTCCCCCCTACTCGCGCGCTCTCTCAAATAAATAAAATCTTTAAAAAAATGGTATAACGAACAGCTTCCTACATATAGCTCTCTATAGTTTGGATTACTACCTTAGACATAGTCCTCAAGGTAGAATTACCACGTCAAACTATGTGAATATTTAGATGTCTTTTCAATACATACTGACAAGATGCTTTCCAAAAAAAATTCTTTTTCACTACCACTGGCAATATATTAAGATTATCAGATTTATCTTGCCCTTACCAGACCTGAGTCATCTTTTCCCCAATGTTAAAATGTATAAAAAGATAAATCGAGACACATTACATTTTTAAAAATTTATTTGCGCAAACAATTCCAGTTGGGCACCACCAAAACCAAAAAGGGGTTGGGGGTGTCCTGGTAGAGCAGAAGTATTTATAGAGAAGACCTGGAAGCAAAGCAAAGAAATTACTTAATTAGTTATCATTTAAATTTTTGCCTTACTTGGGAAAATTTATTCAGCTGTTACGATAGTTGTTCTTGAGTTCCATTTTCTCAGATTTAAGAAAATCTAGTTGACTTTGGATTTAATCTGTTTACATAGGCTACCAAAGGCCTATTACATAGGCTATTTAATGGCCTCCTTGCTTAACTATTTTATCAAATGGGACTTTAAGAAATTGCCACCAGCAGCCGGTTAGCATTAACTATACCTATAAGTATACTTATGTTATACTTCTAAATCCACATTACATGGAGAATTAGACTGGGACATAAAAACTGAAGTTTACCGTCTCCACAAAGAAGTTACAATCTAATGGGAAAGACACATTCACAGTGAAACTGTTAATATAAGCAAGTAGAATACAAATGCCAGTTCTTTTAAACTGATTGTATAAATGGTGATCATGTCAACTTTTGTGACTTGAGAAGGCAATATCTTAACTGAAATGCCTGAATAATCTTTTTGGCATGAGGACAAACTTGGCACTATGACCCACCTACTCAGGAAATTAAATATGTTAGTAATGTTACAGAAGACTTCATTCACTCATTTGAGGGCACATGCTCAAATCCTCAGAACTTTGGAGTACCCAGGGTCAGGGCTTAGAGAAAGGGACTCACAGTCTCTCTGACAATTGCACGTACTCTAAATCCCTCTCCTTGGAAGTAGAAGCATTTTCTGAATAGGTCATACTCTTGACCCTCAGAATGGCCAACACAGATTGACATCCTAACAGAGGAGGCAAACTTCCAGTCACTGAAATTATGTGAACTCACCAATTCACATCAAACTGCTCTTTAGAAATAACTTCAATTCACATTCTGTTAGCATGTAAATGATCCCTCCCTCTTCTACTAATAAATTTCCAGAAATTTTAAAGGAAGGGGGGGGAATCATGACAGCAATGTAATGCTTATTTCAACAAAGCTTCCTTTTTTTTTCAGATCTAAAGTCGTATAAAAAGTGTAGACACATTAAAAGGCATTATGCACGATGTGACTTTATCAACTAATCATCAGTTTCAGTCCATATAAATTTTAAAACAGTTTATTCAAATTACATGTAAATTAGCTGGCTAAATTTGCTTTTCCATTTTCAGTACAAGTGAAGCGACACAGAGCCAGACTTGAAGGAATCCAGGCTTTCTTACTTCGGGCCACTTCGGAAGGAGCGGTCACCTACCTCAGAACAAAAGAAACTGGTATTACTTTAAGAACACAAAGACATTTGGGGCACCTGGGTGGCTCAGTTGGTTAAGCGTCTGCCTTCGGCTCAGGTCATGACCCCAGGGTCCCGGGATCAAGCCCCGCATCGGGCTCCTTGCTCAGTGGGGGAGCCTGCTTCTCCCTCTGCCCTTCCCCCTGCTTGTGCTCTCTCTCTCTCTCTCTCTCAAATAAATAAAATCTTTAAAAAAAAGAAAAGAAAGACATTTTGGAGTTTTCTGAGCCTCGTTTCTTCCGTTTATATATATAAATGCTCATTTTTTTAAAGAAAGAAGGGGAAAAAAATCATCAGATTAAACCTTTTCTGTACAGGAAACCTTTTATCATTAGTCACACAGACGGAGTTAACGCCACCAGCCAATTCCATCTGATCTTGTCTTTGTGGGCTCCCCCAAGCTGAAGACTTGCTTCCATGACAAGAAGCTTCCAGTCTCTTTCTTGTCTTTATTCCTTGATTTGGCATAAGTAGTTTCAAACATAAATCAATCTCTTCCACATGAAAAACATGGAAGCTTTACAATAGCAGAGGAGAGTGACAACCACCAAAACTGTGCCCCAGGAGAATAGCAGGACGCTCCACACACGCTGGGCCTGGACCAGAGAGTGGGTGCTTGCTTGTAACATCTGGAAACCTCTTGGCAGAAAATGCCAGAGAGCGATGCCTGCTGTGTGAGCCAGTTGAACTCAGAACAATGCCAACGTCCCTCACTTTTCTGCCTTTGAATACTGGATACAAGATACTTGCACAGTATGAACAAAAAACAAAACAAAATATCTAGTTTCCAAATGACACTGACGTAGCCTCTTTAGGATAAATGGGGGCCACTGCCCATGCACCCTCCACCCCCTTCCCTGCTCTGAGGCCTGGTCAAGCGGGAGCATCACCAACTGCCTCTAGTCCCAGTCAGCACTGTCTTACCAACTCGCATCTACACTGGCTCCCTCCCGGGAAATGCAAGGTAGCAGCTGTGGTTTTCTTTCACTCTGTGATGGTGGAGAATTCCGGGCTCACTAATCTATAGAATAATCAGGTTTGCAAACCGTTGTTCTAGTTACAAGGTCAAAAAGAAAACACCAAAGAAGGGACTTAATTGTTCATTTGAAAAACTGGCGAGTGAGGACTTGAGGGTCACATTGTACCACTCCAGCACAAAGCAAATGATTTATGAAAAGCTGATATTGTAGGGCCTTCCAGATAATCGGAAAAGTTCCAAACAAGAACAAACGTTATCAGTTAGTGCAATACGGTTAATGGTTCAATATACCTAAAAGACAAATACTCTTCACCTTGAGTTAAGATTCAAACGTTAACTCTATCTTGCTTATAAAACACACGCTAAAGCAGAAGGATACAAAAGATTAAAATGCTGGGCATGGAGCCTACATTAAAAAAAAAAAAAAAAGAATTCACAAGAGGACTTGGCGTGCCTGGGTGGCGCAGTCGGTTAAGTGTCTGACTCTTGGTTTCGACCGAGATCACGGTCTCAGGATCGTGAGATCGAGCCCCGCATCGGGCTCCGCACTCAGCGTGGAGTCGGCTTCAAATTCCTAGACGTATATGGATAAATATATAATTATGTGTGTATTTATATGCATATGAAAGGCAAAAGTTAACAATAAAGGTATGTGTTGGCTATCCCCTGACCCTGCATTTTAAATATCAAGACCACACCACTGTCGTTAGGCCTCTGCTTCAACCTATTTGGTGAGGTACTGTTGTATGGTTTAAGGACGTTTCACAAATCATAATCCAGACGAGACTACTTTGTTTCACATTCAAGTACGAGAGAAGTAAAATTCTCAGTGATAGTGAACGAAGCCAAAACCTGCATCCAGCAGAAATGACCATCAGTTTTGCTGTATGACTCCACTCATACGAAGTTCAAAACAGGAATGAACACATAGCTGGTGAACTTACAAAAGAAAACCAAGGGAAGGAGTAACAGAAATTTCAGGATAATTCTCATCTCTTGCGGAGAGAGAAGAAGACACCATGGAAGAAAAGTGCAAAGATGCTACAAGCTGTTCTTACAACACGTAATTCTTAAATTGGATCATGGTTGCACATACTTTGTTTTAATCTTATTATATATGTGTGTGCATATGTATGTATCCATTTTGTACGTGGAAATTTTTTATGTATACCAGTTTGTATTTGGAAACGTTTACAAACTAGATGTACTTATCAGTTGGGGGTCACTGTGCTGATGGCTGTACGGATATACTACAATAAGACCAGACCCAGATGTGGAGCTGGGCTATTAGTCACTATTTCATTAAGCTTACGATGCTCTGTCATTCTGCGCCTGTCATACTTCAGAGTTAAATGGGGATGAGACAGAAATTTCCATCCTGAATCTTTCAAGTCTCTGAGAGTAATCTAAATCTCTGTGAGTCTCTTCTCCAAGGACACAAAAGATTTTCTGACTGTTGTACCGGAAGTGGAGAGACCCGGGGCTGCCACGAGGCTCTCTCCATCGAAACGGTCCCTACTTAGTCCGGAGTCAGGAAGCCAATCTGGAGATTCTCCCAGTTGCTGAGGACATCAATTCCGACTCCACACTCATGAGCTAGGAAATAATTGCAGGGTAATCTGACATTCTGCTAAGGTGGACTTGGTTATGAGCTCCGCTGATCCCCGGACAAAGCCAAGGTTCAATAAATTAAAATGGTCTGATTAAAAAGAAGAAGAAGAAAGAAAGAAATGACAACCAGTTTTAAAAAGGTTGACAGCTCAGACTTCGGGATCAGTTTACTTAGTTGAATTTGAGATTGTTTGTTCACACAAGGTTACTCTCTGAACCTCAGTATTCTCTTCCACGAAACAGAAATAACGTGAGCACTACCTCTATAAGGATTAAATGAGACAACGTATCAAAGAGCTTGGAACAATTCCCAACTCAGTTACCAACTCTCGAAGTAGAACCAGTAAACATTTAATAAAATGAAGGAGCATATGGCATAAAGATTGTGTTCTAGAATGCTCTTTCTGCAGCGTAAGAGGAAACGGTAAAGATACAGGAAAGAGTAGAAGATGTTAATGTAGCGTTCACTGTCTGGGAGCATTCAGAGACCTGGTTTCTGAAGTACTGATTCCTTTCCTCCACATTAGCACTTCACGGTTACTAACTTAAAGCCTCTTTCTTATTTTTCTAAACAAATAAATAACCAGACTCTGAAGAAAGGAAAGTGATCAGCCCAGACAAATTGTGCTGGTCACAAAGTCCCCCACTGACCACCAATCGTTCATCTCTCCGGAGATTCTGTGTTAACTCCAAAGCTAAGCAGCCTTTCCAAGTCTCCCCACGCTGGGCAAGACCGAAGGAGAAGGACCGATGGGGAATGGAGAGGCCATCAGAAGCTAGGGGGCCAGAGGGCATTTTGGAGGGAGCAGGTTTGAGGATCCGGGTGAATACGGGGAATATGAGATTGCAACATACATAATCAATGAGCTGAAGAGTTGGGATTTCTTTCCAGAAGGATGGCAGTGCTCATGGAGCCGTATCATCCTTTTCTGCCTCAGGAGGAGTCCAGAAGTGTCTGGCTGGTTGACCAGAAGCAGAGATTTAAGGGAAAGGGCCAAGGTGAATTGTTCAGCCTGGACAGTGCTCTTCCCACAGCACGGGGGGGGGGGAAAGCCCTCTACCACAGGCCCGCACATTTCAGCCCATGAGCAACTTCAGGCCTGGGCGAGACTGGCAAAGAGAATGCACAGAGCTCGGGCCCCATCCCGCCCTCTCCGACAGGGACAAGACGACTTCCAAGAGGTGGACCCGCTTCACAGCAACGCCGTCCAATGTGAAACCGTCCTGCACCTCCCCTGCACCAGACGGTCTTCAGTGCCTCCCTGTGATCCCTGTGCCCTGGCTTCCCCTCTTCGTTGGCCTTCCCCCTAGCACTGTGCACGTGTCAGCCGTGGACCCGTGCCTTCCTCCACACTCCCAGCCTCTCCCTCACACACACGCTCCATCCCACGCTGCTCGGGAGCAGCTCTTCCCGGCTCCATCCTCCCACCATGGGCCACCGCCAAGCAAGCAGGAAGGATTAGGAAACTGAGCTGGGAGCCTGGCGGGTCTGTGACTTGATGAATAAAGCACAGCTGCACCAGTCTGAAGTCAAAGAGGGAAGGAACTGAGAATTGGTGTGGGAGTAGCTGCAAACGCTGTGACAGCTTGGGGTAGACATGCAGCCCCCTCCGCTGATAGGGGGCTTGGAGCCGCACGCCCCTCCCCTGCATAGAACGCAGCTGAAACCGGCAAGAGCCAAAGGCATAAATTTTGTCTTGAGAATCCTATCAACCCTCCAAGGGGTCAAATATGTAGACAGTTCTCCCCCTCTTTCCCAGCATGAAGGAGTCAGAAAACTCTCTAGGACTCATGAAGGTCACTTTCAAGGGTGGCATGGTGGGGATGGGGCGGTGGGGGGGGGGGGCCAGAGCCTGGAATTTCTGAAGATAAAGTTCCTTAGAAGAGCAGGCCCTGAGCTCTATTGTCCTATAAATGGAGACCTAAGGGGAACTTTAGTTTCCAGAAAAAATCTGGGGGAGAGAAAACTATTTAGAAAGGCAGAGATGTAATCATAATCTTTTGCTGCAAAGGTGTGAAAGGAAAACTTGCCTTACACCCTGGAGGGAAAGTCAGCGGCGGGGGTGGTTCCTGACACAGCTTTGGAGGAAGCCTGGCAGCCACAGAAGAATGCTAAGAGACAGCAACCTCCCCCAGGAAGGAACAAAGCAGAAGCCTGGCAGCTTCCTATCCTTCCAGCCAGCATCTCAGCGCCCCAGGCTGACTGTGAGGACACAGGCTGCAGTAATCTCAGGTGGTAAGAAGATGAAATCCCACCAGACTGCACTGCACCCCTTGAAGACATCAGTAAGCCTTTAGGGACCTCCAGTGACCCCTAGATTCTTGAGAAGATGATTACTTTGGACAGACGACTAGTCAGCCCGCATTCAGCAAA